TTCCAGCTCTGGGTTAACCTTCAATCACCAGGAGGACGGAGTGTCACATCTCAGATACTGCTGCTGTCTGTAACGGGTAAAGGCCACATGCCCGCAGGCCCCATACTTTGCCCACACCCAGGGTCCAGAGTCTGCCCCGGATTCCCTGACACCTTCGTCTCCATGTGGGAGCCCCGCGGCTCTCTAGTCACTCGGTAGCATATTTCTTTCCTGGGGCCGACCTGGCCATCTGCTCACTGCCTTTCACTGTCCCTTTAGGCTTAGAAATAAGCAAAACTGAGAGAGATGAAGTAACTTGCCCAAGGATACACCTTAATAAAACTGGGCCTGGACACTAGGATTTTCTGACCACGGGGCTATGTTTCCAGTTGTGATGAAGCAAGCCACTAGCCAGTACAGGGTCTAGAAACCCTCTGGAAAGTTCTCTTTTGTTTGAGAGAGAACCTGCAGCCCACCCACCCACCCTCCCGGCCAGTCCACAAGGACCCCAAGGGCCATGCTGGGCCTGACTCACATCTGTGTCCCTCGAGTGTCATGGTCATTCACTCCGTGTCAACTCCACAGAGGAACCAGGTAGCCTACATTGGGCAAGCAGAAACAGACTCGGGCCCTGCTCTCTGGAGAGTCATCTGATGACAAAGATAGCAGTCATTAATCCATGAAACTATGCTTGATTATAATCTCTGATGAGAGCTATGCAGAAGAGGTACAGGGGCTTGGAGGGGGGAAAATAAACCCCACCCTGGAAGCCACAGAGGTTTCTCTCTCTCAAATATTCAAAAGGAATATTTGTTTGGGGAGATTTTTGTTGGTTTGTTTTTAAAGATTTATTTATTCATGCATACAGAACTGGGGTACAGGCCAGAGATGCAGGGGTAGTGAGAGGAGACAGAGTGGGGTGCAGAACAGGCAGATCAACGAAGTACAGTGCTGAGGGGAGCAGCGGGTGAGACAGGAGAGGTCTGCTGGGCCATGTGGGTCCCTCCCTGGCTGGGGGTTGAAATTGTGCTGAAACAGCTGTGATAGCTTTACAGTGTTGTGCTTTAACCCATTGCACCACCAGGGAAGGCTCTCAAAAGGAATATTTGAACTGAGTTCTCAAGAATGAGTAGACATTAACTGGGCAAAGTAGGAGGGGAAAAGAGATCCAGAGAGAGGATATTCGGTGCAAAAACCCTGTGGCTACAGGCAGGATGGAGTATTTGAAGAACTGGAAGAGGCCAGTGTGGCTGGAGCAGAGAGAGCAAGATGAGGCATGAACCAGCCCTGAACTTTCCTAAGAGAGATGGGAAACCCTAAAAGTATTTGAGTTACTTTCAGGGGTGAGTGTATTTCTGTGTGTTGCGATTGGGTATGTGGGTTACACAGATTCATGCCCCAATAGCATACCAGGCAGCAAGATTTCTGGGTCAAGAGAGAAAGATGTATGGTCAGTGGGGGCTTTTGCAGGAGTCTCGGTGACAGATGTTTGAACTTGGGCCAGGCTAATGACCCAGAGCTGGAGAGAAGCAAGTGGAAGCATTGGAGGCGTGGAGCCAGCAGGGATGGGAGCCTGGCCCAGAGAGGATAGTTGTGAGATGAAGTATCTGATGGACAAGGGGAGGCCCGGAGACTGCCCCCAAGGGACTCCCAATATCCAGGATTGTCACCAGGGTGAAGAAGAACAGGGATGTGAACAAAGTGCCTCCCTGGGGCAGGGAGGCAGAGGTGGGGGTGGTACAACTGGCAAAGAAGGATTAACATACCCAGGCCACACCAGCAAAAGAGCAAGGAGCTAGAGACGTGAAATGAAGAGATGTAACCCGTGTCCTCAGATGGACTCCGTAGTCAGAGAGCAGAAAAGAGTAAATTCTATAGCCAAAGAACAGAGCTGGGGAGCAACTAGCCTTTAGCCTAGGAAAGGAGTGCAGGAAAAAACACACAAAGAGCATTGCTCCCCTCCCCCAGGGGAAACTCTCTTGCCAGTTTCTAAGCTGTAGGAGAGGCTACCTGGAGAGCAGTGCAGGCGGAGCCCTGAACAAATACCTGGTGAGAGGCTCATCAGGGTGTGTGTGGCACCAGCCCCGAGGGGCCGCCAGTGGCCAGGGCACAAGCCAGTTGGGTCACCTGCTGGGTTCACACAGCCCGAGTTCTGCAAAGCTGGACTGCTGGACTGCAAGGCAGAGGGTACAAAGTTGGCCAGGAGGTTCAGGAATTGGACACATTTTGGGGCCAAAGAGAAAGGATTCCAGGGCCTGCCCTCAGGGAGTGACCCAAGGGGGTCCTTGAACAGACAGCATCCCGACCTCAAACCCACACCTTCTAACTTATTTTTGATTTATTTAGTTATGCATACAGAACTGGGGTACAGGCCAGAGGTGCAGGGGCAGTGAGAGGATTCACCAGAGACAGAACAGGCCACCAGATCAGCAGAGAAAAGGCCGAGGACTGAAGTACACTGCTGAGGGGAGCAGCGGACAGGTCAGGAGAGGTCTGCCACGCCATGTGGGTCACCTCCGGGGCTGGGGACCAAACTCGCACTGAAGTGGCTGTGGCTGGCTTGCAGTGCTGTGCTGTAACCCACTGTGCCACCAGGGAGGGCCACCACACCTTCCAACTTTTAACCAGCAAATATCAGCAGGCAATGCCAGACTCCACTGAGCCTCATTTTCATCACCTCGCAGTTGCCTTAAGAAACACTGGCTCACGGGGCACAAGGATGGAATGAGAGAGGGTCGGCAAAGCGCCCACCTGGCTCTGTCTGATCACTGTAAATTCTCCCGTCTAGCTCACACCTGCATTGCTGGGACTTGTGAGGACCTTCCTCACGTTACTCCCACACCACCCCCATCCCACCTCCATCCCCTGCCACACCCCAACCATCCCTACTTCTAAGAGACAGTTTCACACAGGAAGTCAGAAAACTCCCAAGGTGATTCAGGGAAACTACAGTTGTGTGTAAGGTACTAGATTTCTTTCCCTTTGCTTGAGACAGGGACTCCAACCCCCTACCGAATGTCTCTGGCTGCCTGGTGAAGACTGCGGGCTCTTCTTGGAATATTACTGTGAGATGCACAAAATAAAATGCTTAAGATTACAAAGGAAACCAATTACTTTGAAATACAGTTAACAGGCATGACCCAAAAAATGGCAATTCAGAAATACAGGCGCTTCTTTAGTAATGGTTTAAATAAGATGACGTTGATATAACATGTCAAAATAGTGATGGAGGTAAACAACATCTTGAGATAACTGTGACAACTGATCTGGACAGGTGTCTGGTAGCTGAGAGCCACGATCAAAATACCTGTGACAAAATCACTGCTCAGAGCGATACTGTTTGTTGCCTATGTTCATAGCCTCAGTTCATTGTTAGTTAAAAGATGAAGCCGTTTTCCCATCCAACTTGATGGATTCTCAGAATTCCATGCCCCCGTTAAGAACCCCATGACCCAGGCAAAGCAGGTCACTGAGTTGTGCAGTAGTGGGGCAGGCTGGTGGGGAGGGCGGGAGCGGGGAGGGGGCAGAGGCGAGAAGCAGTGAAGACTGCTGAATGGAACTCTGAAAATGGTTTTGGCTTTTGACCCAGAGACAGACAGATATACAGAAGAGGGGGGCAGGGAAGCTGTTAAGGGGAGGGAGCCATAGACGTCACGCCGGGACCCCCACAGGGGCACCCATGGCTATTAACTGCTCCCTTTGGAAAGTGGAAATGGGGTCTCAGAAGTGAAGAAAGTTGCCCAAAGATGGTCCCCCAGAGATTAGTTCTGTTTGGATTCAGAACCCCAGATCATCCCTTGCACACACTACTTTGCAATCAGGACTGAGGCTGGGGGACACCCCTCAACCATGAGGAGTGGAACTCAGGCTAGAAGGTAAAAGGGGGACTCAAAGAACCAGGTGGCTTGGCTTCTTCACTTACAGTGTGTTTGATGTTGAGATACTTTATTTATTTGAACCTTTGTTTCATCATCTGGAGGATGAGGATAGTCATTACCTCACAGAGCAATTAAGTGCCATTTAAAAACACTTGAACAGCCTGGAGTCCTGGCATAAGCTAGTCTTGGGACACTTCATTGTTCTTATTCACAGCTTTCTTCTTGAATCACCAGGGCGACCCTCTGTCCCAGCCCCTCCTTGTCTCTGGCTAGAGAATTCAGGATGGGTGGACACAGGGTGGGGGGCCGGGGCTGCCCTTACCCCAGAGGGAAGATGAGTTACTGGCTATTCAACCTTTGCAGGTGGGGAAGTGGTTGAGGAAACAGCAGCTTCAGCAGAATCAGCTTCCTACTCCCAAGAGAGTGGGGAGGGGAAGGAAGAGGGGTGGGTCTCTGGTCAAGGGTCAGGGTGGCCCCACCCCAGGGCCTAGGAGTTATTGTCTAAGGTGTTGGAGTTTGATGAAAAGAAAGTGAGACAGACCTCAAGCAGACTGCGGAGGGAATGCCCTTGGGGCTAGGCAGTCACACCCCTTGTCTGGGGTCCAGCCTGGCCTGCCACCCTCTAGTTCTGTGACCTTGAGCCACTTAACCTGCTCTGAGCTCATCTGGAACTGTGGGATTTCAATCAATGTTTGTTGGCCTTTCTTGGACTGCACGAAAACACCCAGCCCCTAAGCTGCTCTATAAACTGCAGCTTCCTCTTCCCTCAAGCCACCTGCAAGGGACCCTCCCCAAGCTTTAGGGATGGGACAGCAAGAGGCACTAAGGAGAGTGCCCACTTGGCTTCAGGTGGGGAGTGAGAGAGGGGCAGGGCCGCTGGGGCTACATCCTGCCCTTCATCCCAGTTTGCAGCCTCTTCCCTCAGCAGGCAGAGTGGCAACTCCCCTCCCCCATCCAGCTCCTCCTACCCCCTTGGGCTGGGGGATCAATGACCGGCTTTCACAGGGACCCCCCTGTCATATATGGTCTGTTCCCTCTGGGAGCAAGAGAGAACAGGACTCTGGGGTTTGGTCCAGCCCCACGTCCCCCCCTCCCCCCCACCCCTGTCTCTCCCCAAGGCTCTGCCACCCCTCCCCTCCACAGGAAGCCTACTGTGGCTACAGCATCATCCTGATGGCCCTCTTCTGGTGCACTGAAGCCCTGCCTCTGGCCGTCACCGCCTTCTTCCCCATCATCCTGTTCCCCATGATGGGGATCATGGATGCCTCTGAGGTAAGCCTCCCTCATCCACAAGACGAAGGGGGCCCAGGGACAGGAGAGGCCTACCACCCTAGAATGCTGGTAGCCAAGGAAGCTTATCACAGGGCCAGTGGAGCGGAGAGGGTGTCCCTGCCTCTGACTGGCTGACCACAGACCAGTAGGGAGGAGTTAGCTAGGGCATGAATGTTTGGGGGGACAAGGTAGTCGAGGGGTGCATCAGGATCACCTAGAGGGCTAGTTAAAACATGGATCGTTATGCTTACCCACAGTTTCTGATTCAGTGGGTGGAGACGAGGCTGGCCTGGGAACTACACCTGGAGAATAGCCACTCTAGCTCTAGAAGCAGCTAAATTCTTCACCTCCTAGTCCCTGGCTAGAAATGTGTAGACTCAGGTAGACTGTCTCCCAATCTTTCCCAAGGGGGGAGAAAGTGAGTTTGACAGAGAGAAGCCTGATTTATATTAAACTGTAGGTGATCCAAAGACCATTTCCTCTTGGTCCCAAGAACCCGGAGGGCAACCTCTGTGGGAATGTCAGTGTACGCCATGAGCCCAGGGCTTAGTGGGAGGCCCCAGGCTCTTCCCGTCTCTCAGCCATCCCTGCCTGCCAGGTCTGCATAGAGTACCTCAAGGACACTAACATCCTGTTCATCGGGGGCCTGCTGGTGGCCATCGCAGTTGAGCACTGGAACCTGCACAAACGAATTGCCCTCAACGTGCTCCTCATTGTGGGGGTACGGCCTGCCCTGTGAGTTCCCACAAACCAGACCTGCAGAAGCTGGGGCGGTGAGGCATTTTGGGAATCCAGCCCCTGAGAGGACGCTAGTGTGTCCATTTTCTGTCCCTAGGCTGATCCTGGGCTTCATGTTGGTCACAGCCTTCCTGTCCATGTGGATCAGCAACACGGCCACCACGGCCATGATGGTGCCCATTGCGCACGCCGTCCTGGACCAGCTGCACAGGGCACCCACGGACAATAGCAAGGATGTGGAGGAGGGCAGTGACAACCCCACCTTCGAGCTGCAGGAGCCAAGTTGCCAGAAGGAAGAGGCCCAGCTTGGTGAGGCCAGACCCTACCTTGGTCCCAGGCCTTGGGGTCTGAGGAGTTATTCATCCCGGAAGTAGCCATCTTGGAGCCTCTAGGGAGATTCGAAAGCAATAAATACAGGAGCCCACTTGTCCTGGGTTGCCCAGCACTGTCCTGGCTTTAATCCCTGGCTTTACTGAGGTACTGGGCCAGCCTGGCAAGCAGAGAGCCAGAGTCTGAGCGGGCCGTCAAGATTCCCAGCTCTGTCACTGCTGTGTGGCTTGGTTAAGGTTCTTCCTTTCTCTGTGCCTCAGTTTCCCTCTCAAGATGGAGACGCTGGGCCGGATGGGATCTGAGGGTCATCCTAGCTGCAGTGAGTCATCCCTCCCGGTGATGCTGGGGCGGATCTAGAGGCAGTCTCTGCCGACCCCCAGCCTATGTCTGGGCTCCTCACTGTCACGGAGCCCTGGAGCTCCAGCCAAGCTCCCTGGAGCTGGCCCCCACCTGAACTCTCTCTTATTCCTAGACAATGGCCAAGCCCACCCAGTCCCACCTGAACCTTCACCTGTCTCACCTGCTCCTTCGGGGACACCCAACAGCCAAACCCAGGAGCAGCTCCGCTTTACCCAGGGCATGAGCCTGTGTGTGTGCTACTCAGCCAGCATCGGGGGCATCGCCACACTGACTGGCACCACCCCCAACCTGGTGCTGCAAGGCCAGATCAACTCGTGAGTGGCAGGGGCTGGGGGGGTGCACCCTCAGGGGTGGGGGGTGGAGGGGCGAGAATGGGCCTGTCATGCAGCAGCCTCATCCCATTTCAGGCTCTTCCCTGATAATGGGAATGTGGTGAACTTTGCCTCCTGGTTCGGTTTTGCCTTCCCCACCATGATCATCTTGCTGCTGCTTTCCTGGATATGGTTGCAGATCCTCTTCCTGGGCTTCAAGTAAGTGGAGGAGCGGGTGAGAAAAGCCCAGAAGCCTGCCCTTATGTTCTGGAATCTTCTAGTTGGGTCCAGTTGGCTACTCAGGTAACCATTGTGGAAAAACACATGATCACTGTGCCAGTGAAGTCTTCCCTGCACAGTGGGAGGGAGTTACCAGGCAAAAATACTGCTCCACTTGGCATATGGGAAAATGTTGGCCTACGAGGAGATGACGTTTGAGCTGTGCTGCACAAGTACATTGCTGCGGTTGAAAACCGGGTGTCCTGATGGCTGGGCCAGGTCCCTACCCATAATGCTCCACAGTCCTTTGCTTAAGGAACACTCACTGAGGTAGTCAGTTACAAAGGCATCTGGTATGCCCAGTCCTTGTCCTGGGAGCTCACCACCTGCCAGGTGATGACCTGATGGGGGCCGTGGCAGAGGTGCGGAGGGAGTGCAGTCTGGGGGAGTGAGATTCCAGAAGGCCCCTGGGGGAGATGATGGTAGAACTGACTTTAATCAAAGTAAAAAGTGAGCCAGGTAGAGTGTGAGGTCAAAGTATTCCAGACAATAGGAACATCTTGTACAAAGGCAAAACGACAAGAAACAGTGTGATGTGCTGGGAGACTCCAGTTTTGTGTGTTGAAATGTAAATAGCAAAAAGGAGTGTCCAGAGATGAAGTTAGAGAGGTGATGGGGGAAATGATGAGCTTACGTGCCACATAAGGCCGGGCCCTCCCTGGTGGTGCAATGGGTTAGGACGCAGCACTGCAAGCTGGCGGCAGCTGCCTTAGCGTGAGTTCGATGCCCCGCCCCGGAGGTGACCCACACGGCGCAGCAGACCTCTCCTGACCCACCCACTGCTCCGCTCAGCAGTGTACTTCATCGATCTGCTTGTTATGCTCCCCACTCTGTCTCTGGTGAATCTTCTCACTGCCCCTGCACCTCTGGCCTGTACCCCAGTTCCATGTGCATCAATAAGTCTTTTAAAAAAAAAAGTACCAAGGCCAAAAGTAGTAAATAGGTATTATTTCTATTTTTAACACTGGCTTACTGGTTATCACTAGCACTCAGAGGTGAAAATATTTTGAGACCTTGCTAGGACTCTGTTGGGATTGAGTCTGGCATTGATTCGTGATGTCTGAAGAGAGTCCAGGCCAGGACCAGTGGCCTGAATGGTACTGTGGGATATAATATTTGCTCTTACTGCCCAGGCAGTGGGGCACCACTGAGCATTTTTTTTTTAAGAAACTATTTATTTTATGCATACAGAGCTGGGGTACAGGCCAGAGGCTCAGGGGCGGTGAGAAGATTCACCAGAGACAAAGTGGGGAGCAGAACAGGCAGATTGTCAAAGTACACTGCTGAGGGGAGCAGCGGGCGAGTCAGGAGAGGTCTGCCACGCCATGTGGGTCACCTCCACAGCAGGGATCGAACTCATGTGGAAGTGGCTTTAGCTTCTTAGTGCTGTGTTTTAACCTGCTGCGCCACCAGGGAGGGCCCTGGCACCTCTGAGCATTTTTAAGCATATCCTCTGGGAAAATCACTTAGGTGGGTGTGAAGAAGCTGGGTTGAGTGTGGGAGCAGGTACAAGGCAAGGTGGTAGTCAAAGAGTCCAGCACAGAGCCAGCATATGGGGGATTCAAATATGTGTGAAGTATGGTCTTTACCCTTGAGGCACTCGCAGTCCAGCAGGGTAGTTGAGATTTGCCTGAGTGAAAAGTTAAATGTCAACGTGAGTTAAGCCAAGTGGCACACAAAGACAGGAGCACCCTGGGCCTCCAAGGATGAAGTGGGGGGGTGAGGAGGGGGCGGTACTGACATTGCAGGGGGTGCCCAGAAGCTGGCAAGAGAAGGAGGAGAGGGTTTCCTGAGAAGTTGTGGGGGGAGGGGAGTGATGCGTCAGGACCAGGAGGCCTGGGGTTCAGGCCTGTAGGCCCTCACTCTGTACAAGAGAAGGCTCCGCACCTGGGAGCCCTTGGCATGACAGAATTAGTCCCAGTCCTAGGACTAGCCCTAGTCTTGCATCTGCCAAACAAGAGCCAGGACCCTCTGAGAGGCCGTTCTGCTCTTCTTCTAGAACCGTGGGAAGATCCAGGGCTCTGGTGTAGCAGCCTTGAGCTGGCCTCTGCAGTCCTCAGTATTTTTATCACGGGCACTCAGAGCCCCTTGCCCCCCTGCCTGGTATGGGCCCTCATGAGCTACCCCTGGCCCTCTGCCTGCAGCTTCCGGAAGAACTTTGGCATTGGGGGACAGTCACGGGAGCGAGAGCAAGCAGCCTACCGAGTCATCAAAACAGAACACAAGCTGCTGGGCCCCATGACCTTTGCAGAGAAGGCTGTCAGCATCCTCTTCGTCCTCCTGGTGGTGCTGTGGTTCACGCGGGAGCCAGGCTTTTTCACTGGCTGGGGCAACCTGGCTTTTCCCAACGAAAAAGGGGAAAGGTGAGCTTTCTGGGGGAAGAGGGGATACTTTTGGGATTCACCTGGTTAAGGGAGGAGGGAAGGGAGTAGATAGGAGGAAATGCTTGGTTGGGGGGAATTGCCAGGAAGGGTTGGCACGACTGTGGGAGGGGCTCCTCTCCACCACCCCTCTACCTAGTGACCCCAAGCCTCCCTGGGCCACTAAGCCTGCCCAATCTGCCTGCCCACAGCATGGCGTCCGATGGGACAGTGGCCATCTTCATCAGCATAATTTTGTTCATCGTGCCCTCCAAGATTCCAGGGTTAACCCAAGTTCCAGGTAAGTACCTGTACTGGGGCAGGGAAGGATCCTTAGGCAACCTCTGCCTTCCAGCAAGGAAATTACCTTTGGCCACACTTGACAGAGTAGCCAGAGTCCAGAGAAACTGGGATCACTTAGGGTCACAGGGACTCAGGGATAGAGTCGCTGAGAGATTTGCAGGACTGAGATTCTCTCTTCTGCACGCATTAAGCTCTGTACAGAAATACCCAAGTGCAAGGAAGGAAGGGTTGTTGGCTCTCGGTGATCCCTCCTTCTGTTCTTGGGGAGTAGGCAAACCAGGAAAACTGAAGGCCCCTCCGGCTCTCCTGAACTGGAAGACAGTAAACGAGAAGATGCCCTGGAACATCGTGTTTCTGTTGGGTGGTGGCTTTGCCCTGGCCAAGGGCAGTGAGGTGAGAGACCCCTGCCCCTCCCCACATGTTTGAGGAGGCCACTGTGGCAGGAAGAGGGATTCTGCTTCTATTCTACAGTGGGGAGACCTGGTCTCTACTTAAGAGCTCCCTGGTGGCAGAGCCTTTTGGGGCCTTTGAGAGAAGGGGAGAAAACACAAACCAGAGGCCTCTTCCTAGTGGGGTTCTCAAAGTCAGAAGGAAGGCAGTTTCCTCTGGCGTGAAGGAGCTGTTCTCAGTGACCACCACCCATGCACCCATCCACTGCCCTCCTGCCACTCACACAGCACAAGGGACTTCAGCTCCCAAGTGAGCTGAGGTTGCGTTGACACCTTTCTGCTGTGGCCACCAGAGGGAGCCATAATTCTGGGGACCAGGGCATTATCCCCCAGAGCTTCCAAGAGGAAAATCCCTGAGTCTGCACCCCAGGGGCTCTGTTCTAGCTGAGCTCATACCCTGTAGATAGGAGACATCTTCCCAGGGTCAGGTATTAGTGCCTGGGACTCCTGGGTCAGCAATTAGTTCATCCATCAAGCACACTTGCTGCGCCAAACACTATTCTGGGTGCTGGGCGGGCAGGGCAGTGTTGCATGAGATGAAGGCCCAGCTGCCTGGAGCTCAGTCCAGTGTTACACACCCAGCAGGAGTGCTGTAGAGCTTTGGAGTTCTTCCGAGCCTGTGGTCTGTCTTCTTATCAGTCTTCTCTCAGCCTCTTACCCTCCTTGCCAGGATCAAGGTCTACTCCAGCCCAGCCTACTGGGCTACAGGGGATGGGAGAAGGCTAAAATTGTCCAGGGACCTCCTGAGAGAGGTCAGGAGAACAGGAGTAAATGGACAAAGGGCTCACATCGAGCCCCAGGTTTCTCCAAAGCCTCTGACCCGTCTCCCTACATTCAGCTGTTCTTCAAGCCCAGGAAGGGGCCCCTTGGGCCTTTCTTCCCAAGCTACTTTTGACTCTAAAGAGCAGTGGGCAGGAACAGTATCCTCCAGAGACTCAGCTGGAAACTCGGGGTCCCAAGCAACCCAGCTTCTCCTTCACGCTCCTCTTGTGTCCACAGAAATCAGGTCTGTCGCAGTGGCTGGGAGACAAGCTGACGCCCCTGCAGAACATTCCACACCCTGCCATTGCCTTCATTCTCTCCCTCCTCATTGCCACCTTCACTGAGTGTACCAGCAACGTGGCCACCACCACACTCTTCCTGCCTATCCTGGCCTCCATGGTGAGCTGGCCCTGCGACACAACTCCTCAGGGCAGCCCTTCTGCTCACCCCCACCCAAGGGCCCCACCCTCTGGGCAGCATGTATCTCCTCTCCTTTCCTGGAAAGGACCCCTGGTCTTCTGCCCTCCTCTAAGCTGAGGGCTCCTCTGGGCCCTCTGGACCTCGGCCTCTTACTCACCTCATCCCTGGTGACATCACCCCTTGGGTATCCTGATGGAGCTCACTAGTAGCCTCACCCACTCCCTTGCCCAGCCCCTGTTCTGGTCATTCCTGAGGTGACAGGGTGAAATTGCTCCCCGGAGCGTCCCCAGCCCCTTCCTTCCCAAGCGCGTTCCCGCAGCCTTTGATGACACCCCCGAACCTCTTTGAGATCCGTTTTATGGGCCCCTCCCCGCTCCACGCCCCGCAGGGCAGGGCCGCACACTCATCCCCCTCCAGAGAGGTCAAGGGGCCCTTCCCAGGTCACCCAGTGCTTTATGCAGAGGGTGGGTTCATGGCCAGAGTGCGTATGCATGTGTTTTGGGGGGGATTGTCGCTCAGAGAGGGCAGCGGGACAAAGGGGGACGTTCCCTCTGGGATGGTACCCGAGACCAGCTCTGCTGCCGTCCCTCCTCCAGGCTCAGGCCATCTGCCTCCATCCTCTCTATGTCATGCTCCCCTGCACTCTGGCTGCCTCCCTGGCCTTCATGCTCCCTGTGGCCACCCCGCCCAACGCCATCGTCTTCTCTTTCGGAGGCCTCAAAGTGTCTGATATGGTGAGTAGCAGAAAGGCCTGACCAGAGTCTCACCGTCCCTTCTTGCTCTGACTGTCCACCTCAGTAGACTACAACATAGCTTAATGTCGCTGAGATTCTGAGTCGAGAGTGGGCCCTTCTCAACTCTGGGGGAGCAGACGGGAGCTTGGGACATCACCCCTGGGGAGGAGCATGTTCAGGTTGGGCCATGAGAATTGGGGGAAAGGGGTGTGTGTGCGTGAAGGTGCCAGGCTCCAGGGAGATGGACTTAGAGAGAACAAGGCCTGCCACCACAGAAGCTTGCAAGGAGGGAGGGTCTCCTCCCCTGTTAGCCCTATTACTACAGCAAGGGCCGAGGGCATTGCATTGCCTGGTGTGGCTGGGTAGACCCCAGAGAAGACTTCCCAGAGGGATTTGCCCACAAGAGAGCTCCTGAGCACCATGATCTCCTGAGGGAATGCCTGGACCTACTCAGTCAAACTGATTCTCCACACACCAGGCCCGGACGGGATTCCTGCTCAACATCCTCGGCGTGCTGGTCATCTCACTGGCCATCAACACATGGAGCCAACCCATCTTCAACCTGAACACCTTCCCCTCCTGGGCCCAAACCAACACCACAGCCCACTGCCTAGGTGGCCAGCTCAACACCACCACGCCCAGCCCCTAGACCAGGGTGTTATCTGGCCAGGATCAGGGACTTCCACCTATTCCTCTGAGCCAGGAGGGGACACCCCAAGCTCCAAGCCTAACACTGAGAGAAAGGCATATGTCACACTGCATGTATAAGGACGGTGTGAGTGTGCTTGATCCTGAGTGTCAAAGGAAATGTGTATATATGTGTCTGTATGTGTGTGTGTGCGCGTGCATGGATGGGTGACTGGGTGGGTGGTGGATGGAGTGTTGTGTAGGGTGTTTGAGAGGGGCTTTGTGCGTGTGCATGTGAGTCTAGGTATATATGACTGACAGTGCACACAAGAATTTGCAGGCACCGCAACATGCCCTCTCTACTACCCCAGTTCTGTCTCCCTAGCCTGCTATTCCTATTGCACTCTATTTATTGAAACTCAGGGTAGGGTGACCCAGGGAGCTAACTGACCTACAGTCACCATGCAGCAGTCTCTGGGTCCTGCTTAGCTGCTGAGCTCTCCCTGGCACCCCAGGGTTCAAAGAAGGGTTCAAATACTAGTCACAGTAAAGTTTTTTTCAATAGAGTCTGACCTGTTTTTTTTTTCTTCACAACCATTTCCAGGGCTGGCCCACAACATGGCTCAAGCCCCAGGTTGAGGGGTTTGGAGGGGGGACCTGGCCTCTGTTCTGCTTGGCAACCCCCTTGGCACCGCTCCCAGCCGAGGGAGAGGGTAATGGCCGGGAACCCCTGCCAAGGCTGAGCAGAGTGGGCGCAGCCACCCAGGAAAGCAGCACTGACATCACCTGGCCCGGCTAATTGGGAGCTGCCAGTCCCTGCGTGTCTTTGGGAAAACCGGCCTCCCCGTTCCCAGAGCACTCCCTGGGCATTTACATAAAACCCTCTGCCCCTGCCAATTCCTCACCGACCCTTCCTCCAGCTGGAAAAACCAGTCCCGCCAGACCCAGACCGAGGGAGGCAGGCTGACCCATGTTGGGTGCCCAGAAAGAGGGACCCTCACCCCAACGGTAGCCTGAAGCAAGAAGGATGCAGGGGAGACTCTCACAGGAACAGGCTCCAAACTGGCACGGCCTCCAGAGTCCAGGGCCTGGCACCACTGGGTCGGTGGGCTCTGCCTCCCCACTGCAGCCACCCCTGGTTCAGGAACTGTGGAGTTTTCATTCATCTGGCAAAGTGGGGGCGGGGTGGGGAGGGATGAGGCCGCACCCATCACCCATTCTGGGAGTGCTCCATCCCTTCTTGGCTGGAAGTTCTTCACCCATAGCCTGAGTTTCTATCTCTGTGGACAGTGACATGCATGCCTTGAGTTCATTTAGATGGACGTTGCCTAGCATCTCACGCAGTTCTCTCCTGCTGCAGTGGGAGAAAAGAGATGGTTCCCATCACTGCTATGCCCAATAGAAAAGGGGGCTGAACTGTGAAGGGAGAAAATCAGAAAGGATCTAATTCTGGATTCCTCCTGGGCAGGGCCTTCACTCAGTCCTCCTGAGATGGGAGGGATCTGCCACATGGGGGAGAACGTGGCTGTCCCCAGGGGACAGGGGATCCTGACAGGACACGCCAGGTATCCAGCAGAGTGAGGAGCGGCAGGCAGGTGGCCCCGCCCCCTCCCCGGCCCCCCAGGCTGGCATTCCTCACTCATGAAGCACAGTCATAAATCACACTCCCACCCAGACCCACATTAGGAACCCCCCAAGCCCCCAGGGGACAGTCCCTCCCATTGGGAGCGGGCTGACCCAGAATGATGGGACCCCCCCGCTGGCTTACCCACAATCCAGTGGGACCCTTAGAAGCAGCACCAGCCCCATCTGCAGGGAGGACCCTCCGCTAGGCTCCCTGCTCTTTTGGGGTCCACAGTCCAACCCCTGCTGGGAAGAGACGGGTGCGCTTCTGTGGGACACATTAGCCCATGCACTATTCTCGGTTCCCCTTCGTACCCCACACTCTCCCCTCATTCCTGCTCAGAGAAGGCCAGCAGTGGGCTGAGGTCACACAGCAGTGCAGGATGAGGACTCAGCAGGCTCATTTCTTCTTGGGGGGAGAAGGGACAAAACCCGACTTGAGAGTTGAGGAGTCGGTCGTGGTAGGTGCTCACTTGGGAGGGAGGGCCCAGACCTCCCCAAAGTGCTCAGAAACCGTCCTCCTCAGCAGGCAGGAGGGTGGATGGGAGACAGGCGGCACCTGTCGGCCTAATCACCGTCATTAGCTGGGCAATAAAGCGGCACGGACGGGCCGGCCTTTGAAGGAAGGGCCTGTCAGCCCAGGTCAGGTTTGTGCAGGCAGCCGAACAGCTTGGCCCCTCCTCACACACACGGCAGGTGGATAGGGCGTTGCAGGGACTCTAGGGTCTGTCCCTCCCTCGCTGAACACCGGCAGCCATGGCCCAGGGGCTTTGGGAGCCGTACAGGGCCAGGCCTCAGAACCTCTATGGTGTGAGCTCTGTAGCGACAGAGGTCAATGAGCCTGAGACAGCTCGAGACAGTTGGCCTAGTGCAGCTGTGTCCCCACTGTGCCTCACGTAGGGCCAGCTCGAGGTGAAGAACGTAGCAGAGGCCCAGAGTGACTTCTTGCTCCTGAAGGGAAGTTGCCTCAAAACCTCTTTCCAAACTGTGGTGTGGAGTGCTTTCCCACCTGGGGACGGCATCTTGGCCTCCCTGGGGTCAGTCATCTTGGGCTCAGCAGATAGGCCCTGATTCCTGAGCCACCCAACAACGTAGACAGAGGATGCTTGCTAGGGAGATGGAGGAGGTGGGAGCTGGGCTGCTGATCCTACTTGACTTGGGCCTTAGTCAAGTACGACTCCAAGGCTTCAGGACCTCAACCTCAGGATAAGGCCCTTGGGGGGCTCACACTATGACTTCCCTGTCTCCCCAAGTCTCAGATGAGAGGTAGCTTTCTGAAGAGGGAGGGTGAACTCTTCAGGAGGGAGGACGGTATGTCCAGAAGGGCAGGATGGAGGGTGGGGTGGGACTGGGACAGCTGAAGTTCTGACAGGTGTCAGCCTGGAGAGAGCCCCCCCCCCCGCAGCCTCCACCTCAACCTGGGCCCCATTAGCCCATTAGTCATAATCAACAGAGCCATGGGGCTTTATAGGCGCAGGGAATCTGAGGGCCTTGAAAGAGAGAGGGTGCCTGTGGGGTGGACAGAGCGAATAGGGAGAGTGCTGAGCAGCAGCCTGACTCAGATGATGGGGACCGGGATGCTGAAGGGTCGCCCTTACACAGGTGAAGCTGGAAGGGGTTACGCTGAGCAAAATAAGGCAGGAGAAAGACAAATACTGAATGGTTTCACTTACAGGTAGAACATAGGAACACTGAACAAAGGGTCAGATAAAACTTGCAAGATTACCATAGATCTGAGACATCCAGCACGGTGGGCACGGAAAGCTGGCAAAAGAGGGGAGGGAGGAGAATAAGAGACAGAGGTGATGGGTCACGCGTGCTGTGGTGGTGGGAGAACTCTGGGGACTACCTCTGAGGGGAGAAATCAAATAGCGTACAAAAATGAACAATGACGTAAGGAAACTAAAGAAAAAAGTGAAGTCAGAGCGTTGCTCTTAAGGGTGGGGAAGCCCATAGATCCATAACCGCCAATAGATCCATAACCACAGCGGGGGACCCATGGGCGCGTGCACACACACACATGCGCAGACACCCCGCCCTCAGACACTCAGTGGTGGCAGAAACACAGGTGGACACAGTCACCCAGACCCCCATCCGGCCACGAATGCCTGTGCATACAGTGCTCTCCCAGGTGCGCGGCGGCACAGAAATGTAGGTGCTCACACAGGTACGTGTGCTTGCAGATGCTGATGCTGCACACTCACACCTATGGCCCTCCCCACCTCCAACACCATGCCTCCTGGAACAGGAGCGATTAAGACAAGATAAGAGAAGCCTGCCCTCCCCCCCCAGCAGGACTCTAGCTAGGCCCCTCCCTACTGGACACCCCCCTCCCCACCAAGCTCTCCGCTTGGAAACTCCCTGGATTTCCCAGGGGCCAGTCAACCAGAACGGGCTCAGACCTCCCAAACCTCCTCAGCTCTGGCTGATGCTCCGCCTTCCTCACAGTCAAGGAAAGCCTGCCCTCCCCCAGGAAGTCTGTCCTGATTAACTGCAGACCTCTTCAGCCTTCTTTGACCCGGGGCTTCTTGAGCCTCAGAGCTTCTTGGCAGCTATGTTTCAGTCCTTTTTCTCAGCAGATGTTAAGTGTCTTCCACACCCGTGATGTGGAACTTGGAAGGCCTGGGAAGTGGCAGGCTCTGTCTGGGGAACCTACTTTGGAGAAGACAAGTTCAATTCACATGAGCAGAAGACGGCCAATCCTGATGTGGGGTGCAGGGAGGAAGCTCCTCCTCCATCACACCAGGGATGCCTAGGGAGGTCCTTTCTTCTGGGGTCACCAGCGTATTGCCCCAGACTGGAACAAGGATTTCCAACCCCAGTCATTGCTGCTTCTGGCTCAAAGGAGCCCAGCCCTAGGCAAAGCTCAATAGCAGATAGTGAGCTGGTTTAACCTTCAACTTCCATGCCCTTGGTCTGTTTAACCATCCAGCTACAGCCTATCCAGATCAGATCCCAACCAGCTACATGTGCAGGCCCTGAAATTAGGCTGTTAGAGTGCATATGGACCAAACCTCCAGGCTTGGAGCCTCCTCTAAGGAGAACAGAATCAACACCTAGCAATGGGGATGGGGACTAGATGTGTAGACGGGCTTTCTGGGTCTAGGAGAGAAGTTTGAGGGGCTGGTGCGATGAAAGAAGAGGATAGTCCTCTCTGGAGGTAGGGAATGAGAAGAAGATCCTCACAGATCCCTTTTCAATCCATTGGAATTCCCAAAGATCCTGCTTCAACTCCTAGGCTACCTAAAACAAGGAAGTGGCTCTTCCCAAAGAAAAGAGAGAGCCAGGGCCCACACCCATTCCCTCAACAGAGATGGATCCTGTCTCAGGACAGCAAGAAGTTCATCTTACCCATCAGAAGTCTCATTGTGCAAAGGTGAAAATCACAGCCTCTCTGTC